CGCAGCCCTGAGCCAGGGCGGTTCCGGGACGGTTCCGGGAGCCGGAACTCGGCCGCTCTGTGCTCGGTGTAAGCTCCTATAAGTGTAAGCTCCAAGAAGCAGTCCCCGCGGGCTCAGTTCCGGGAGCTGGAATTCGGCTTCTTGGTGTTTCGTGTTTGCTCTGATATTAGCAGGGTCCAAGAAGCAGCCTCCGCAGGCTCCGCAGCCCGGAGCCAGGGCGGTTCCGGGACGGTTCCGGGAGCCGGAACTCAGCCGCCCCGCGCTCCGTGTTCACTCCGATAAGATCAGATTTTAAGAAGCCCCCAGGCGCTGAACCCTAGCAATCTGTCTGCAAGCCGCAGGCGAATTGCAGCCTGAAATTACCTGTTCTATGGCTGAATGAGCTGCGGTCAGTCAAAAACAGGTGTGGTGACGTCAGTTTACCAACATGGTGGCTGCTGGCCTCCTCTGTGGTCTGACCGGTGTGGAGAACCGAGATGGACCGCTTCCTTCCCCGTCTCGAACCCAGAATTCAGCCCTGAGTGCGGTGCTTGCGCGTCTGGCAGAAACTGCAGCGCTGTAACCCTGCGTCTCTATCCCAGCGCGCCTTGCAGACTCTAGCCGCGGGGCGATTTGCTTAATAAGCAGTGTTACCCTCCATGCGACAAACCTCTCGCGTTTGAGTCCCCGTAGCCGATCCTCATACGATGGAAATCCTTCCTCCAGGTTCCGGCGCACCCCACTATTGCTGGAAATTCCTAACAAGATAGCCTTTAGCCGTCCTGACTTGTCATACTCCCACACAGTGAAGCAGCACACGGGGGTAATGCACTCCCCTCGCCGCCATCTTCCCTCCCCCTAAAGTCTGATCTTAATCATAAAAAAAATCACTGAAGGACAATTTTGAGAGGGTGCAGGCTCCATGGTTTCAGGAAGATGAATGTCTAAGTATACTGGGACAGATATTTATTTTCCCTAAATATCCTAGAGTTGGAGATTTCTTAATCTTAAATTCTACTGATTTTATTACCTCTAAAATAACGACGTGGGTTATAACATTAAGCATTACCAGCATCTTAAATATAGATGGGAGTTATATATGCTTTCATGTTTGTGATAATGTAGAGAAGTTCAAGAAGATACTGTGTCATTAAGTCAATAACTTTTACATTCTGTGAATGGGCACATATTTATAAATTTGGAGGGCTTCCAGTATTATTTCAGATTATGTCAGTGATTTTATGTACAAAATAATAATTTAGAATAGCGATTCTCTAAATTTAGTATATTTAAGAATCACTTTAAAGCTTGCCAAATGTCAGATTTCTTGGGCCTTCCTCCAAAATATTTTGCCTGGTTCTCTGGAATCCACTTGGTCAAACTATCATAAAAATTAAAGAACAGTGGGGCTCGTGGCACATACGTGCAATCTCAGTGGCTCTGAAAGCCAAGGCAGGAGAATCAAAAGTTCAAAGCCAGCCTCAGCAACTTCGTGAGGCTCCAAGCAACTTAGACCCTGTCTTGAAATAAAAAGAGGAATGTGGTTTAATGGTTAAGCATTGCTGGATTCAATTCCCAATTCAAAAAAATAAAAAAAAAAAATTAATGATCAAAAATTAAAGCTTGATTTGAAGGTTAGTGATTTTTGAAGCAGGAAATTAAAATATCATGTCTAAGTTATTACCATTTCTGCATGGAAACTTGCATTAGATATAAGTTTTTCTATTATAGGTCAACAAAATATTTTAAGAGATTTCTCTTGATTTGAATATGTCTTTTGTATTAGTTTCTTTGTTTACTCTCTCCTGTAGTGTTCCCTCCAGTTTTCCTTTGCTTCCTTTAGTAAATGAGTATTTACCATGTGTCAGTCATTGTGGTAGGAATCTGGAAGGAGTCAATGTGGAAAAGACATGGATCTAAATGATATAAATGATTGAGAATCATTTATAAAACAAGTAAGCTATATACACAATGAATGAAGAAATCATTTTGAGTAGTGGAGAATTCACAAACCCATCTTATATTTGTACTACCCCCTAAAATATATATTTGTCAAGGGGATGAAAGTAAATGGCAATCTAGTTATAATAAAGTTTGCAAGGGTGATGGTTAAGTGGTGGGAAGTAAGACTGATAAAGACAGGTTAGGGTCAGGGACTTTTTTATCTTTTGGTTTTATTTATTTTAATCCTTAATACACTGGGGGAGTTGGGCTAAGTGTCAAGAAAAGGGAGTGAATTTGAGATATTTTAAGAGTAGAATTGGTAGAATTGTGAGACTAGTAAAACTGAAATTGACTAAAATTAGAGGAATCAAAGAGTTAAGGAAGAATTAAGGAAGATAGGAAACCTAATGAAATATAACTTCTATAATTCAACTGTGGATAAACAGACTTTCTAATCTGATAGCCTTTTCAGGCCTTATCTTTTCTATAGCCATCTTAGCATATAATCACTTCCTCACCTGTCTTAAGACATGTTTGTTTGTTTTTCCTCTCATCTATAGGTAAATGAAGCAGTTTAATCTTTCAGTCTGCATCAAAAATCTGTGTGTGACTTAATAATTCTACTTTAGGAGTTGAAACCCTAGAAATAATTACAGATTACTAATTATATTTATATGTAATTATATTTATATGTAAATGTATTTATATGTAAATACATTTATATGTAAATATAAAGGTCTTTATAGTATAGTGTTATTTTTTTTTTTAATTTTTTATTGTGGGTTGTTCAAAACATTACAAATTTCTTGACATATCATATTCCACACTTTGATTCAAGTGGGTTATGAACTCCCACCTTCACCCCATACACAGATTGCAGAATCACATCAGTTACACATCCATTGATTTACAAATTGCCATACTAGTGTCTGTTGTGCTCCGATGCCTTTCCCATCCTCCACCCTCCTATAGTGTTATTTTTAATGATAAAAAATGGGAAATGAACCCAAGGGTTCTCAAAAAGGAATTTACTTATTTATTTTTTGGTACTGGGAATTGAACCCAGGGGCACTTAACCTCTAAGCCACATCCTTACCCCTTTTTTGTATTTTATTTTTAGATACAGGGTTTCACCGAGTTGCTTAACACCTCATAAGTTGTTGAGGCTGGCTTTGAACATATGATCTTTCTGTCTCAGTCTCCCGAGCCAGTGGGATTTCAGGCATACAACACTGTGCCTGATTTCATAAGGAATTTATTAGACAAATTATACTATATCCATTTTATTTATTTATTTATTTTTAAGTGGTTCTGAGGATTGAACCTAGGGCCTTGCATGTGCTAGGTGAGCTCTCTACCGATGAGCCACAACCCCAGCCCCTCCTATATTCATTTGCTGGATTGGTAAATTAGGAGAAGAGGGAAAGGAAGATACTGGGGAATGAGATTAATCAAATAATGTCATATGCAAGTATGAATATAGCATAATGAATCCCACTGTTATGTAGAATTGCAATGTATGAATAAAAGAATTTTTTAAAAAAGAAGGTTAACCTTTAAAGTTATTGCTTTACTTTTCAGGTCAACTGCAAGTTCATGGGGTCATTTAAGAACACAGTTTTTTTTCTTCTTATTTCTCTGTCATCTTGTAAGGCATTAATGGTTTAAGCTCAGTTGTGGGCACATCCTTGTATTAGATTTATTGAACCTGTTCTTGCTAACCAATGATGACAGTTGTTCCATCTAATAGTACATTTTCAGTGTGTAACATTTGAAGCTGATAATCGCCCCCCTTTATTTATTTATTTATTTTTATTAGTTGCTCAAGACAGTACAATGATCTTGACATATCATACATTTGATTCAAATAGGGTATGAATTCTCATTTTTCCATGTGTACAGATTGCAGGATCACATTGCTTATACATCCATATCCCCCCCCTTTTTTAAATAAAAAAATTAAACTTTTTCCTCGTAGGCTTCTATTGGTTTCTAAGAATTTGTTCATTGTGTCTTTTTTCTTTCCCTTTGCCTTGCAAATAAAGGTTGGAGTTCTCCAGTGTTCTCTCTATGGTCCATTTTCATTTACATGCATACTCTTAATGTACCACTCAGGATCATTTTCATGTGATTTCTCCCAAATCTCCATCTCTAGCATGAAAACCATTCTTATAAGCACCAAGACCTATTGTAATACCTCTACTTGAATATTCTGCAGGAAACCAAATTTAATATATCCAAGACTGACTTAATTACCTTCCTTTCCAAAGTAGTTCTCCCACCTCTATTGCCTCTCAGAGCCACCTAGGTCAGAAATCAGCAAGTCAACCTCAGCAATTTCTATCTTCCCTTCTCCAGTGAGACCAAATACTTTGTTAACTATGCCTCTTGAGTATTTGTTCTGGCATTTCCCCTCTTCTGTCTCCACAGTCTTAGTTCAGTCAAGATTATTTTGAGCTTCCTCTGGGATCTGTTTCTATTCAGGCTCCTATCCAATCCTACTTATTGATTAGATAGGTCGGTGATTTTCTTTCACTGGTGTTTGGTGGGCATTAGCTATATGTTTAAATTGTATAACATGGTACAGTGCCAAGTGCAATTTAGCTGTTAATAAATTATATTAATGATAAAAATGAACATTTGTTAAAGATGAACCAAGATTAGTAATAAAGTAATTATTACCATAATGTTCAAGGAAACTTGGGAGAAAATTAAAGATAGGTAGTAAAAAAGTACTGGAGCTAAAGAAAACATTTTGGTAATTTAATATTTAACTTTACACACAGTTTAAATCAGGTGTTTGTTGCAGATATTAGCACTCTGCAGAGAAAGCAGGAATAGATTGTTCCTGAATGTGGTGTGTCAGTTTAAGCTATGCACCATTAAATTTGAGTGATCTCTTCTGGGCCCTGCCATGGTTGCACATAATGGAAAGCCAGAGGCTGCCACCCCTGTTCTAGTCAGTTAACCTAGATTCCTTGTGGACACTAGGCCCTCCTGTTTCATTCTCTCCCAAATGACATTGGGATTGCTGGCTTCTAATCTCAGGTTATCCTTCACACTTCTTCATAGTTTACCTTGACTCCTGGAATTTTTTCTTTTATATTTGCTTATCCATTTTTTTACTGTCTTCTGAGCTTCACATGAGAGACTTTCTTCTCTAATCCCTGCTGATTGCTGGAGTCACATCTGGGTTACCTGGTAGGAGAGAGGGATATTTGAGCATAGTCAGTGTTTTTGCAAAGTAATATGTTATAATATATTTTATAATGTATACTATCTTATACATATATATGTATATATATTTTATAGGTTAAAAAAATATGTTTTTCTGGATAGCCTGTATGGTACAAAGAAGCGATTCTGCCCAAACTTTCAGATTGGTGATACTTCTCTTCCTCCTCCAGCATGATAACATTTACTGTTTTGTTTGTTTTTTCACTATGTGAAGGGCAGTGTTTCACATACTTTACTATGTCGTAGTCCATTTAATTCTCCCAACAACCCTGTGATGTAGGTACTATTCCCATTTTATAAGTGAGGAAACAGGCCCAGAGAAATTAAATTTGACAGATACCACATGGCTCGTAAGTGACAGAACTGGGATTAAAATCTAGGCATAATTCTTATAGAATCTGTCCTTGTTGCAACCATCCTTTACTGACTCTTTTAAGAGGGGATAATGCACATACATATATAGTTGTAACACAAATAGAGATATCCCTTTAAATAACATTAAACTATGAAATAACATGCAAAATGTGTGACTTGTCATTGTGGAGGGAAAGGAATACTGGACTGCTACCAACTAATTCTGTGACCTTGGGCAATTAACAACCTTTCAGGACTTTGGTTTCTGCACCTATACAGTTCTAAGTTCTCTTTTTTCTTTTCACTAAGTTTGGGTTTGTAATTCCTGCTTACTCTGTTGTGCTTAGATTTAGTATCTACTACAGGATATATTTCAACTTGTCATTTAAGTTACACTGATGAAGTTAGTTTTATAGCTTTGGATGTGTTACTGTAGAGAAGTTCATTATCAAGTGCTTTACTGTGTGAATTCAGACACCTGTAGAACAAACCAAGTCACCTTAAACACATTTCATAATCAATTGGTCAATCAATTCTTATTTATTGTGCTTTTATAATAGATATGCCTGTCTGCTAGATCCTGGTATGTTTGTTAATCAATTAGGTATTTGTTCTATACTTCAGATATCTTACAGAAATGTTTACTGTATAAATTTTGAAATGTAGGTTTGAAAATTTGTACTTTGTGAAATGGCAAAATACCAAATTGCGATAAATTGGGATTTTATACATTTTACCAGAAGGGCATAGATTTGTGTCTCCTTTTTTTTTTTTTTTTTTTTTTTGTGTGTGTGTTTTTACTAGGTTAATTTGATTCTCCTTATATTTTAGAGTACAACCATATAAACTTAATTGATTTTTTAGTTCTCGGTGGACACATCATCTTTGTTTTTTGTATGTGGTGCTGAGGATTGAACCCGGGCCGCACGCATGCGAGGCGAGCGCGCTACCGCTGAGCCACATCCCCAGCCCTTAATTGATTTTTTTTACATAACGTTACTTCAGGTATTATGTTGCATAATTCTTACATAAGCTTTAGGTTAAGAGCCATAAATATAATCATATCTTAATGTTTTAACTGAATTGATTTTTAGGAGGTTATAATAGTAGGAAAAATATACATTTTTAATTCCTAAGCTCCCACCCCAAACATCTTGACAGATAGTCATGTTAAATTAAAAAGAAAAAGAAATCCTCTATGAATGAAGTGTGCCATTATTTAAAGAACTTTTAGATCTTTTCTTTTAAATAATATGAGGCTGACCTTTATTATGAGGCAGTAAGTGATTAAGCACATGCTGGAACCAGGCTTCTAGGGCTCAAATCTCAGCTGTCAGTTTTAAGACCTTGAGCAAGTTACTTACTTCATCTCCTTGTCCCTCAGTTTCCTTTAGTACCTTAGGGTGGTTACAATAATTCAAAATATTAACATAGAGAAACAGGACATATAAAATAGATGTATAAAAATTTGACCTTATTTTATAGGAAAGAGGTTAGAATTAGGACGTATATATGGCTCCATTGTTATTTGTGTATTTATTTATTTATTTTTTTAATACTTAGTTTTTAGTTATAGTTGGACACAATACCTTTATTTTATTTATTTATTTTTATGTGGTGCTGAGGATCGAACCCAGGGCCTCGGATGTGCTAGGCAAGCACTTTATTGCTGAGCCACAACCTCAGGCCCTATTTATTTATTTTGATATGAGGATTGACCCCAGGGGCACTTAACCACTGGGGCACATCCCTAGGCCTTTTTTGTATTTTATTTAGAGACTGAGTCTCACTGAATTGCTTAGGGCTTCCTTGTTGCTGAGGCTGGCTTTGAACTTGAGAACCTCCTGCCTCAGCCTCCCAAGCTGGTGGGATTATAGGCATGCATCCAGCTTCATTGTTATTTGAAGATACAGTGAACTCCCTTATGTGCTTGTGCATTCTCTCATATGCATGCTATGCTATTCCAGTTTTGCAGTCTACTTATTTAATTGGCTTAAAACTCTCTTTCACCTTTCATAGAGCTTCCTTGGATGAAAAATCTCAGCAGCAGATCCCCATTCTTTTCACCTTGGGCTACAAACTAATCCTGACAAAGAGTGCCCCTGAGTTTAATCCCCGGTACTCCAAAAAAACAAAAACAAAAACAAAAAGAGTGAAGGAAAGCTTCAATTCAAGAACTCATATTTGGAATAGGAAAGACAATAAAATGAATCAGACATAAATTTTCTATGTACATATAGGAATATGCCACAATTTTCTTTAGTTTAAACACTATCATTGTTTTTAAAATTTTATTTGGGGGCTAGGGCTATAGCTCAGTGGGAGAGTACTTGCCTAGCATGCACAAGGCCCTTGATTTGATCCCTGCCACTGAAAAATATATTGCATTTAAAAATGTAGATTTTAATATTTAAAATTAGGAGACTTCACATTAAAACTTATATTTCCTATTTTTCTTGAAAAACAAGGAGGTATGGAAACACAAAGTCCACATCCTCATATGACACGTAAGTTGAGGCTACATCCTTTGGATATGGCATTTTTTGTTTTCCAATTTATACCATAGTACATTTTGTTTATTTTTAAACCAAGCTGGTCTCATTCTCTTATGTTGCCTTCTTGTTTCCCACAGGTATTTTTATGTTAGATTTCTACAGCAGAGCTTCAAAAAATTAATGAGTCCCTCAAAGTATCTATTAGAAATCTAGTGGAAATAGAAGATAATTACTGAAGTGGCATTTAAAAAAAGAACCAAACCCAGTATAAACCAGGTTTCTATAAAATCAAAATGTCTCAAATAAATGCTTTCATATCAAAAAACACTGCAATCAAACTAATATTGGGACCAAGGATGCAGAAAATCTAACTCAGAACATGTTTAGTAAATCGGGTCAAAAAAGACTGCAAAGAATCATACTTTCCTGTGTATGCTCTTGTTTATTGCTTTTCCACAATAACTTTGGACTTTTTTCATGTGATTTGCTTTGACTACAAAAAATGTGACCCAAGCAGAGATTTAAAGAATGCATGCACATTGGTATCTGAATTCTGTTGTCATGCCAAGCCAAGCCCAGGCTAGCATATTGGACAATGAGAGGCCATGGGAGGCCAAGAAAAGCCATTCCAACTAAAGCTCCCAAGAGTATCCAGCTTGTTGATTGCCAACCAGATTTGAGTGATATGGTCTAGAGCAGACTAATGAACAATAATAAAACCAATGTTGCTTTAAGTAAGTTTTTGAAGGGTTTGTTGAATAATAAAATCTAACTGATACAAGAAGAAAGGGGAGGAGAAGGAGGAAGCATTGAAGATTCAGCACAAAAGTGAAGTTGCTAACCTCCAGCTTAGAGTTAGTCTTCTAGTGTAACATCTATAATACCTAAAAGAACTATACTTTTTTTTTTTTTTCAGGTACTAGGGAATTAACTCAGGGGTACTGAACCACTGAGCCACATCCCCAGCCGTATTCTGTGTTTTATATAGACACAGGGTCTCACTGAGTTGCTTAGTGCCTTGCCTTTGCTGAGGTTAGCTTTGAACTCACCATCGATCCTCCTGCCTCAGCCTTCCAAGCTGGTAGGATTACAGGCGTGAGCCACCACTCCCAGCAAGAACTGTAGATCTGAGAATGAGTAGATATGCTGGAGTATGGAGATTTGTGTATGTATGTATATGAGAGGAATCTGGAACAGCAAGTATGTTGGCTATTGTCCAGGTATGATGATATAAGAGATAGAGGTGTGGAGATCAGCAGGCTGATTGGATTTAAGAGATAGCTCAGTAACACAGCCTGCCTTTTTGGAATTCCTCTGGTTCCCTGATTGTACATTTTACAGCCTCTTAAGCCAAAATTATTTTTCTGCTCATCTTGTTTATAAATTTAATTTTATTTCTATAGATATTTTCATGATTTTTCTTTGTTTTTGCTTTCATGGCATGGTATTTTCCTACTTATCTGCTTTTTCTTTAAGGGAGAGGGAGTATTAATTTTAATCTAATCCACTTGGATGGATTAAAACTAAACTGACGTTTTAGGCATCCTCAGAATGAAAAATGTCCATTGGCTATAGTACCCTTGTTGTGGTATCATGAGACAACTCATTTGTACTCATTGTGCCTTCTCTATATCATGCCATTGGATACTAAAATGCAGGAATGCTAATGTAGGGGACAATATGAATTTTTAGAATTTCCAGGCACTTTGTGTGAATATTCCCCAGCCTCTCTGTCTTCCAAAGTGTGGTCTGAGCACCCACATTTCAATATTAACTTTTTATCAGGTATCTTCCAGATGATTTGACCATTGCAAAAAGAAAATGATGAAACCATTTAAAAAATATATTCACAAAGTTTGAAATGTAAAATTGAGTTATGATTTTTATGAAAATTCTTTTATATTCTCAATAATCATTTAAAAAGTTAATGCTTTTGACATAAGCACAGTATTGGTCATGTCAATTAATGTCAGTTCACGTCAATTAAGATTCAGTTAATAGTTTCTCTTACTTTACTATCTTAATGTCATTATTGACTTATTGTGTATTTGATTAGATTTGCTTTTATTGTTATTATTACAATAGAATTGCATCATATTTCTACCTTAGAAAATGAATTAGTCCATTTCTAAAGTGGCTAACTGATGCCTTTAAAATAGAGGTAAAATAGTAACATGTATGCCAGAAATCACAATAAGGTCAGTACAGATAGAACACATGTTGGGACAAATGAATCTGCAAGTTTGGTTATTTTGCATAAATAAATAAAAGACAAAACATAAATAGAAGATACATGATTCTTGTCTGCAAATTTATTTTTATTATGTAGTTCTGTAGTCCCTGGTGTGTTGTATGATATGAAACTTTTGCTTTATTTTCAAAGTAGCCAATCTAGAAAACCATTGTTATTAAATAGACAAATGAGAACCTCCATAGCATATTGGTTAAGAACATGTGCTGCCTGGGCTCAAATCCCAGTTTTGTATTTGTCAGCTGTATGCACTTGGTTAAACTCTCCCTGGAGGAGGTCCAAAGAGTTCCTGGAGAGGAGGACCTTGACTTAGGACCCGTGGGCTTCTTTGTGTATGTGATGGAAAAGAATTTCAGCCTGTGCCTTTTAGACACAGAGATTTATTTAGCAAAGCAGATACACATTCAAGGGAGAATGTGGATTATCTCAAGAGAAACACGCCTTGGAGTGAAGCAAGGCATATACATTTAAGGGCAAATGTGAATTTTTTTGAGAGTTAGTGATGGCTTTGGAGATATATATATATATATACACACACACACACACACACACACTACTACTACTACTACTAAAAAAGAAACAATATGTAAAATATGAAGGATATTTTTGTTCTTAAGGAAAAATGAGAGTGATTTTGTTTTAAAATAAGATGACTGGTTATTCTAGAATGAGAAAGAAAAAAAATATAGAATAAAACCTGAATAGATATGGAAGGATGTAGAAGGCTTACAGAAAAGTAACTTTCTATTTGTGAAGTTGGCTAAGGTGAATGGATTTATTTTTAAAATTTAAATGAAATGAGACTAGTAGCTTTCTGATGTAAAACTGGAGTTTGGTTTTCTTTATAAAAACAAAGTTTTCTTGGATTATTGATCTATTATAAATAATAGAATATAAAAAGTTTTTCTTTATCCTCTTAGTAATTTTTCAACAGAACAAAGATTATTTGTCTTATGAAAATATTTGCTAGTTTTTTTTGGCATCTCTGTTCAGTAGAATTCAAGTATTGTTTCATAGTGATTTGTGACCCTATTTAATCAAGTATTCAAATTGTTTGACCTTTTTGACAGCTTTCTAAAATTAAATCCTAAGTGAAATCTTGAACTCTGCTGAACTTGTATTTCCCAGAGGGCCCCTGGAAAATTTTTGTTTCACTTTGTAAAATATACAGTTTTTAAATATATGTATTAAAATGTATGGGAAACTGTCGCAAGTGGCGCTATTAACTACTCAGAGGTGGATTGTCTTTAAATGCAAATGTATATTCGATCACACCATTCATCAAATATAAACAATTAATGCAAAAAGTGTTGGGTGTGCTGGAACACCCCAACTAGCATTCAGTGCACACTAATTAAACACTATAAGCAGATAAACAATTAATGCAAAAGTACCCCAACTAGCTTTCATTGCTCATTAATTAAACACTATAAGCAAATCACACAATCCTAGGGCAACCACAGTTCCAAAATACCTCCGATGCCACATGACTTCTCTTAGCCAAAGAGCAGAGGTTGTCCTTGTCTGGTAGTTCTCTCCAGCTGATGGCTGGATGCCAGGGAATGGTGGAGTAGGTCCAGGGATGGACAGAAAGGTCGCCAATCTCACTGATGGCCTTGTAGCAAAACTCTTCAGTATGGCAGGACCAGCAATTTAAATACAATTCCAAGTTGGTGGTGTATGTTGGTGATTGGTTACACCCAGTAAAAGTCAGCATCCATTGTTTATGTCCAGTGAGGTGATGTAATTGCAACTAGGCATGTCCTTTTCACATGTTCATGGAGCTGTGCTCCTTATCATTCGTAACCTGTCATTGCTAAGCACGCCTATGGCTAGTGCCCTTTACACCTCTTTATCAATTGCAAGCAGACATGACTAAGCAGTTCAATGGTTGTTGTTCCTTGTGGCCAGCAACTTAGTGAGTCCCAGCATGTCCCAGCATGTCTATGGCAGATGCTCCTTACAGAAACATTGTCAAATAAGAAGTGATGTTTAACCTTTTTCAGGTGATAGTTGTATGAGGAAATATTATTACCATAAATACTTCAGATACTTCAGAAATTGTATAAATTTTATGGAAATTTTCCAATATCTTATGCCATCAGGCTATCAGTCATAATTCTAGCTCTTGCTTAAATGTTGTATGCCACAGAAATAACGAATTCCCTTGCAAATTACATCTTTTTTTTTTTCTAACTTAGGTTTTTTTTTTTTTTTCCTCAGTGCTGAGGATTGAACCTAGAACAAGGTCTTGCCAAGTTGCCCAGGCTGACCTTAAACCTGTGGCCGTTTTGCCTCAACTTCCTGAGTAGCTGAGATTACAGGAGTACACCACCACATCTGGCTTTTAATGTTTTTTAGTTTTTTTTTCCCCCCCAAAGAACCTACTTTCTCCTCTCTCAACCTAGCTATAGCTTGTTAAATATAGATTTGTATGAATTCTTCTCCTAGGTTCCCCAAATATCCTGTTTTACAAAATATGCTTTGTAAAAAGAAATGAAATATTAATCTTTTCTCTTTACCTGATCTCTTCAAATTTGGATGAATACAATTGAGTATTCTTATTTTCATGGCAATACAATTACTTGTCTCAATTCAGTAAGAATCTGTTCTCCTTGGCATGATTGGAAAAACTGGTTTATAATCTGTGTTTGGATGGAATGTTATATTTGAGAATGATGCATTGAATCAGATGTGTCCAGACACTTTTGAGGACTCAGGTTGACTTTGTAAAGTCAATGCTTACAAAATTCTCTTGGAAAAACTGTCCTAGTACCAGGCTTCTAGGGCTGCCAACATTACAGGTAAGTAAGGAAAGCCACTTGCTAGAAGGCCCAGGAAACAGGATATTTGGGGAACCTAGGAGAAGAATTTACACAAATCTATATTTAACATGGGAATATCCTGATGTTGAATTTGTGGCTTGGCTTACACTCTTTGAGAGGCTTTTAAAAGTCTAATCAGAGATTCTTGTTAAAAAATTTTAGCAAAACAAACCCAAAGCCCTAAATGATCAATTATTATTCTTGCTGTCATTAAGTAAATAATCAGGCTGAATATAATGAGACCAGACCTATTTTGTAAATAACAGTAAAAATGGAAGATAATTGTAGAGAGAAATTTTGTTTCAATGGAAAACAATACTGTACACTTGTGAGTTATTAAGTTCTAATCCTGTTCATTTATATCAGCTTATAAATTGACTGGATCCTGCTATCATATATATTTTGTTAGTTCTTCTCGTTTCTCCCATAGTTGACTAAATTCTCCAAATTAACATTTCCAATTTTTTTGCCCTCCTGACTTGGCATTTATTGCAAACTAAAACTTTCCTTTAGCCCTAGAATTCCTGGAAGCTGAACTGGACAGTCTGTTATAAAGTTGCCTGCCTTCAGCAAGAATCCTGTTAGGTCTGTTTAGTCAACCCTATAATTTTCCATTCACTGATCTCCCCTACCCCACCCAGTCTTGCTCCTTGGCTATAAATCCCCACTTGTTCTTGTAGTATTTGGAATTGAGCTTATTCTGTACTGAAGTTTTTCCCCTTTTCTTCTTTTTTAGTTCTGAATAAATCTGTTTTTAAAGCTGGGTGTGGTGACCCACATCTGTAATCCCAGTGATTTGGGAGACTGAGGAAGGAGGATCGAAAGTTCAGAGCCAGCCTTAGCAGTTTAGTGAGGCCTTTGTGGCTTAGTGATATCCTGTCTCAAAAAATAAAAAGGGCTGGTTACAAAATAAATAAATAAATAAATAAATAAATAAATAAATAAATAAAAATAAAAATCTGTTTTTATTGCTTCTACTACTGTCTAGCTCTTTTTTTTTTTTGACAATATCAATAGTATACAATCTAGAAGAGCAAAACTAACAGATCTTTCAACTTACATAAACCAGTGATGCAAAATTTGAATTGTTGCTTTGTGTATATATATATATTTTTTGGTACTAGGGCTCAAACCTAGGGGCACTTAACCACCGAGCCACATCCCAGCTCTTATATATATTTTATTTAGAGATAGGGTCTTGCTAAATTGCTTAGAGCCTCGCTAAGTTACCGAGGTTGTCTTTGAACTCATAATCCTCCTGCCTCAGCCTCCCAAGCCATTGGAATTACATGTGGGCACTACCCACCTGGCTTTGTGTACACATTTTTGTTGGAAAATTGAGGATATGGGAGAAAATATAATGAGATTAGTGCTGATAAAATACAGTGTGCATTGCTATGCAAATAAAAAAGGTGACCTCTCAGTTGGAATTTATATTTTGTAGTCACCGAGAACAGTTGGTGGTCAAAAATATGCTATTTGTTTTTGATTTATTGTCAAAGGAAGTGCTAACAATTCCTAATACCATGAAATTGCAGCCTGTAAGTATAGTATGGACATGCTTCTTTGGCATTCTATGTAAAGAATGATGCTGACACTTTTCCTAAAGACTATTTTGAGTAACTTACTTGAATGATAAATGATAACAGTTTGTATTTATTCATGTTGAATTGTTTGATCCTTTACTTTGGGCTCAATTTAAATTTTCTGATGAAAGATCAAGAAACCAGCCAACCAAACCTGAACTGTGATATAATGGTTTAAATTTTGATGCTTTCTAATACCTTTTGTTAATAATTTCTTTACTTTTGGATAAAGAAGTATATGATTTATGGTCACATATGTTTAAAAATCATATCACTAAAATATAGTATTATATAAAGACTTCATGAGAAAATGAATAAATACTTTTTAGGGCTATAAGCAGTTAGAGAATGGCTTAGAAATCTAATTACTCTGCCAAATAGAATTAAATGTTCTGCTTTGATTTGTGATTTGCTTGCCAATTTAATGGTGAATGGAGTTCTGAAACTCTTCAGTGAGAAATCTTTTATAATTTCTAGGTTTATGGTGATTCAAGTATCCAGAATTGTCAGAAAAAGCCAGGACTTTCTAATTGGTTAAAGTCATGAAAATAGGAACTGATTGGATATGAGGCTCAAGGTCTTGCTGTGGCTTAGAGTTTTTGTCATTGGGCTAGGTATTGACAATTTTAATGGCACAAACAAAATATCATCTCTTTAAATAATAGGGAATAATAATAATAGGTGTATTGACATTTTATTCAAAATAACATTTTGAAAAAATAACTATGTGATCCACATATGCTGAATATGGATGCTGACACAATATTTGTCACCTTTGTTAAAAAGAAGGTGGTGTTTTGTTGATAGCTTATAATGGGGCAAACACTATTCTAAATGTAATGAACTCACGTTTACTGTGAAGGAGTATTGTACACACTGAAGCATGGAGAGAATAAAGTACTTATCTGAGCTCACACAGCTGTTAATTGGCAGAACTAGAAATCTGAACATGAATCTGGGAGTAAAGTCTGTTCCTGACTGAGAAAAATAGTACTCTAGGAGTCAATGAAGTAGTCAGCTCAATTATGGATGTTTTATATTTTGAAGTTTCTTAAAGTCCATCTCCTTTTTTTTTTGTAAATTAGTTGACCCAATTTTCATTTTCTTTTTTTTTAAAATTTATACATGACAGTGGAATGCATTACAATTCTTATTACACATATAGAGCACAATTTTTCATATCTCTAGTTGTATACTTCTCTATTCCCTTAACAAACAATTTTCTCACAATATTCTCCTCCTCCTTATTATTATCACCAGTGAATATTTTGCTTAGAATCTTTTAAGAAGAGAAATGGTTGCTAAGAATGGAATGCTTTGTAGGCAGAGACAGGAAGGATCACTTTAATGGCCAAAGATTATTTCCTTAGTCCTAGCCAATGTTTTCATTGTCTGATGGGTCCCAAAGACAATATGGGTTACTTATAACCTATCACTTCTAACCTCCAATATACTTCAAAATTGCATCTGAGAGTTTGTTAGTGAATGAATAGTATTGTCTTCTTTCATGAAAAGACTTGTACAGATCATAAATACTAAAAGTTGAGTTTATAAATCTGCTTCCCTAGAATTATATTTAAAAAGCCTTTTATGCATAGCAATTTAATATATTTAAAAACATTGACTTCATACATCTTTGTTTAATAAGTTTAATTTGTCTTAACATTGCTATTTGTCAAAAATAAATGACAATTCAAAATTTGTAGTATTTCTCTGAAATATCTAAAAAAATATAATTTTAGAATCTAAAGTTTTTTACTTATTTTAAGTACACCAACTTGCTGGCTGTTGTGTGTTGGGTAGAACTATTTCTCTTTCATATCTAACAGTGTCCTCTAGAGTGAAAGGTTAAATCCAACTTGATTAGAAGGACAATTTTACAAATTCAGATGTTCTTGAATATGTCCCGAGGTATAGCTTGTTATTTTAGATTAGCAAAGAGCTGACCCTTTTATTTTATTTTATTTTGTGTGGGGGCTCATCTAAATATTTTTTTCAAGGGTGCTTTTTAAGTAACTGGAAAAAACAGAAATAAGTTCCTTCACAAAAAAGTTATTTTTTCTTCATATTTGCACATTTTTTCTTATTTCCTTGTGAATGTAGTGGTACATAATTTTATCTTAAAATGGACATTTTAATAATAATAATAAATGTGTAATAGCAAATATTGAATAACTTGCCAAAATATAGCAAATGCCCAGTATGTGCATGATAGTGCATTTAGTTGAAGAATATAAAATAAATACATAATAAACTTATTCCTGGTATTAAAATACTTATTTCCACTGTCTTTTGTAGCAGAGAATAATCCATATTGATTC